TTTTGAATATTTGATTATCGTTTAATCGTTTTCCGAATTCCAAAACTGCAAAACATCTTCAAGTCGACTTAGCCTGTCCTAGCCCCTAAGAACCCCCTAATCAAAAAGAAATTCAGCCTTCAGTCTCCAAACTCACGACTTTGTTTCTCCCGTCTCCCTCGATTGAGGCATCGAGTCATTGACTATCGCAGTGTCGTACACACAACACTCATATTCTCGTCCTCCGGCTATCGCACACCACTCGTCGTCGTCACTCCTGTTTATGACTTTATATTTATGACTTTATGTTGAATATTTAAGACTTTATGACTTTATTTTATTTGTATTTTTTAATTTCATTTTAAAATGTGTTGCTTATTAAATGGGTTATACGGGTTGGGTTCGACCCACTAACCCAGGAACCCAGGAACCCATATACTTATACGGGTTATATGGGTTGGGTTGGGTTGATGTTTTCAACCCGCCAACCCATGACCCGCCAACCCACCAACCCATATATTATATGGGTTGGGTTGGGTCAATGTATTCTGACCCGCCAACCCGTGACTCGCCAACCCTAACCCTACCCAATTGCCAGGCCTAACCGTACACATCCTTGGTTTCACTATTGGACTCTGATTTTAAATCATGTTTTGGAACACACTGGTTTTGTAAACACTTTTATTAGTAAACGGGTTGTTTTGAAAAGTTTAAATTGGTTGTGATTTTTAAGGATTTTACATTACTTTTATTTATCAACATTATACCCATTTAGTTAGGACCTTAAACACCTTAATCCAACAAACAATCTTCTAGCTTCAAAGTATCCTTGATCTTTGGTGCAAGGGTGATGAAGGAGGAGTTATAGCCATGTGCGAACATCCCATATTGTTCGAAATGCTTAACAACATGGTGATATCCATTTTCTTCAGGTCCCAATATTCTTTGAAGAATCTGAAAGTAAACCCATCAGGCCCTAACGCCTTATCAGTGCCACATGAGCATACGACCTCTTTGATTTCATCTAAAGAGAATGGAGCCTCCAAAGAACTTGCAACGTCAGAAGGAATGGTAGTGAATCTCAGATTTATGAATTTAGGTCTTGACATCTGACTCTCATAGAATTTGTTTTTGAAGAAGTCATAGATCTCCCTTTTGATATTTTTCAGGTCCATGTTTTAGTTACCATCAGAAATGAGACCGTTGATCCGATTCTTTCTGTTTTTGTTATTAATATAAGCATGAAAAAACTTGGTATTCTCATCCCCATCTATCGCCCATTTGATTCTAGACTTTTGCTTGAGATCAAAAGCATTTGCCTTCTCAAGGTCCATGATTTTCTAATATTCGTCCCTTCTTTCTAATACCTCATCTTCACTCAGGGCTCTTGATTCAGCATAAGAATCAAGAGCTGACATTCTTTCCTTTAGGTTCTTTAGTTCAACTGACTCTTTTAGGTAATCCATCCTCCTCCAAGCCTTAAGTTCATTCTTTAGATACTTGAGTTTCGCAGCAAGATAGGAGTCAGGAGTCCCAAAACCAACAAATTGAGTCTAAGCCTTAAGAACAATATCCTTAAATCCATCTCGATTTAACCACAAGTTAAAGAGCTTGACCGAAGATGGTCCAAAATCCACGGATTCAGAGCCGAGCCGAATTGGACAGTGATTCAATAACTCTCTTGGAAGGGCTGTAACCACCGAGGAAGGAAATGCATTAAGGAAATTTGAACATACACGAATTCGATCAAGTTTACTCAGTTTAAGCTCAATTTAAGCTCTTTAGTACAAAAGTAAGTAAATTTGTGTTCCCCATCCTATGATCAATGAGTCCCGCTTCATGAATAAGTCGATTAAAAGCAAAAGCTGATTGGGCACAAAATTGAGAATTAAATCTCTCTTCCGGGCACCTAACGATGTTAAAATCCTCCATGAATATCCAAGTTCCGGATTTGGCATTTTTGATATGGTCATGGTCTCGCAAGTTGTATTTATTATGCATGATGTTCATTTATGTCCAATTTGTATCATAATTAGCTCGTGGATGCTCTTGTTAATGACTCGTGACCAACAATCAATTATGAAAACAAGGATGAGGAAACTTATATAATATAATATATATGTTTTTGAATAATATGGAGTGAATCCAAATAAATTGTTAAACAATTTCTGTAAGAAGTCAACGATGCAGAGAAAAACAATGATTCAACGTATATTGTGGAATATATCCAAGTAAATTGTTAAACCATTTTTATTACATCTTTTGCATCCCTTCTGAATGTTTACTAATTTAGTACTAAGATAGTTTATTTTGTATATTTTTTAATTTAGTTGTAGTTTATAATTTCTAGTACCTTGTTAGTTTCGTGAATAAATTTCAGCTATTCCAAAAAGAAATATTAGGTATTAGGTTTATGATATTTTAGTGATAACTATCAAATCTATTAATCGGGTTATATATGATCTACCACTAGTAATGAACCCAAAATGGTTCTTGTATCAACACAACAATATATATGACAAAAAATATAAATACTAGCAGTATCCCCACCAAAATTGCTATTTCTAATAACCAAAGAATTCTGAAATCTGAATGCTGGTCATATTTGGATCACTGTTTTATATTGAAATATAGTAGTATATTATTTTGTCTTTCTAGGTGGTGGGCGTGACTCACAACTTACCCTGTTCTTCGATCCTTCCAAACCCTACTTTCCATCGTGATCGCGTGATTATACCGAAAGCTTCTCGAGAACTTCCGTCGAGTTGATTCTTTCCTTTTTCTCTACTCAAGAATTCATTTCAATCTGGTTTTTGAATCGGGTTGCAGCATCGAATCTATCGATTCGTCAAGGTATTAGTTTCTGTGTTTTGAATTCTCGATTAGCGTAATTGAGTTTATAGACAGTTTGTTTCCTCATCTAACCACTAGTAGTTTCAGGTTCGTTTCTCTCTGTAACGAGTTTGATGATTTTTATTCATTTTTTTGGAAAAAATTGTTCGGGTGAAATGTTGGTGGAATTAGCGACATATTTTCTGAACTTATTTGGAGCTTCTTCTAGCTAGTGTTGATTTGTCTCTTAGACTGGTCCTGCTTTTTTTTTTTTTTTTTTTTTTTTTTTTTTTGTACTTAATTGAGATGGATTTATGCTTAACGTTGCGATGAGACTCTTTCTACATAGCATACTAGCTGTACACATTGTTCTCAAATTGCGTACGTATTGTAAAAGAAGAACTGCTTCATTTATTATGTCAATTAAGCCGTATCACCCTCCATTAACTTTGTCTATTTATGAGCATTTACAGTTACAAATCCGTTCGATTTCCTCTATTTTTCATCTCTATATGTTGATAACTCCGATTTTGAAACTGTAGAAAGTCGATGTTTTAGTTTTTTCTCAGGTTAATTGTTCCGAGGGCTTGTGTATTTAGGGTTTTTTGTCGTTTGTATTCATAAATTCTGATTTTTTCCGTTTCTTTGATGACAGGCGCAAGAGTACAAATCAGATATCAAGGATAAAATGACAATTGTGGAGGACCCAAATCCAAAGCTTCCACCTACTTCTCCGACCATTTCTCCACCAAATTCCTATGGATCGGTGGTTCTAGGTGGCACCTTTGACCGCTTACATGATGGTCATCGGCTTTTCCTTAAGGTTCTTCTTCTTCCACCTATCTCATATAACCTTCAAGCATACACTTGAGTTACCAACTTTCTATCTTCGAGATAAGGATTGAATAGCCTTTGAATGTTGATTACAGGCAGCTGCAGAGTTAGCCAGAGATCGAATCATAGTTGGTGTTTGTGATGGACCTATGCTATCCAAGAAACAGGTTTACACCTTTCTCCTTTCCTCTTTCCTACAATCACACTCTGAAATTTGTTGAAACCATTGTATACCAATAGTTTCATAGCAACATAATAAATATACCTGGTTGAAAAGTCAAAATAGACATCGGGATTCTACAAACCTAGCTTAGTTCATTCACACAAAATTGATAAGGATAGTGTAGATTCACATTTTGAATTGAAACAAGCCTATACAGTATACACCACCAACTACCTCACATTTACTCCCCATTAAATGATTGTGAAATACTACATTCAGCCCACTATTTTCACACTTTTCTAAATTTGGCCCATGGTTACCTCTCTCACTGCATGTCCCCTGCTGCAGAAACCAATAATTGAGAAAATTTGAATTAATGTAATTTTGATTCATAAAAAAACAATATACATGTAGCCATGTGGGGATGGTTGGGTCACTTATTTTTAACCTATTAAGTCTACAAAAAAGATTTATCATTTATCATTTGGTTATATTTCCTATTAAATTTGATTTATCTGGGGAATAATTGACAAGGGGAATAATGATTAGATGGAGAAGGTGTTGATTATCTCAATTATTGTTTACCAATTTAGGTTTGCTAGTTTATGTTGATTGAGGTTTTAATAATCAGATAATTAGTTTTTGAGTGTTTGGAATATATTTCATATTCGAAGATATAATACATAAATGATCAAAAAATGACATTCTTTTAAATTGGTGAATTGTTTAACTTTTAAAGTATGAAAATTTATTTTTTATTGTTCATCATTATATTTTTACATATTATTTATTAATAAATTAGTAAATCCTTCAAAATTGTTATTCCTCCTAATAGAAATATCAATGAATCAGTTCTTCTATAAAAGGTCGTTAATTTATACTTTAAAAGAGTGGCAATCTAGTATTCTTTTTTTTTTTTTTTCGATAATCATTTTTGTTGTAGCTACTAGCTAGCCATTAACAATTATTTAACCCCAAATAATCAAAATCTAAATCAATTTAACCCAAACACCAAAAAACTAATTATCTTCACTTGGAATCTCAATAATCAGATAATCTGGTTTTAAACACCCACTAATCCTCTATTGCATATTCTATCATGATCTTGCTCTTTATCCGATTTCTTTAAACTTTTTGAGTTATCTTGATGTATCAACTTTTACAGTTTGTGGAGCTCATTATGCCTATTGAAGAGAGAATGAAAACCGTGGACGATTACATTAAGGTACCAAAGCTTCTATTTGGATTGGTCCCATTTGACATCAGTCTCAGTTCTAGTCCAATACATGCCAAACACAGTACAAGGATGTTCTGTCATGTCATGTCATCTTAAAGATGCTCTGCTAATTTCATTAATTTTTTTTTTTCAGTCGGTGAAGCCTGAGCTGGCGGTACAAGTGGAACCTATTACTGATCCGTACGGTCCTTCCATTGTTGAAAAGAATCTGGAGGCTATTGTTGTCAGGTTTGTTCCTCAACCAACAAAACAGGACAAGCTGTACTGTGTTTGACATGCATTAGACTGAGACCAGAACCTAGATGTCAATTCGACAAAATTTTCTATTTTTGTTTGCCAGAGAGTGACTCGCTCTCAAAAGACGTAAATGCCCTCCTCATCTTCATCATCGAAAATAACCCTAATAATCCTGTCATTTGTTTGACAGTAAGGAGACATTACCTGGTGGATTATCAGTCAACAAAAAGAGAGCCGAGAGAGGCCTCTCACAACTAAAGGTACTTATTCTTCAAATTATTACTTTTTTTTTAAACCTGGTAGACAGTTGACAGTTGACAGTTATGTGTCTTGTTTTGTGCAAGGTTGAAGTTGTGAATCTGGTATCTGAAGAATCAAGTGGAGAAAAGTTGAGTTCATCCACATTGAGGAAGCTTGAAGCAGAGAAAGCCAAAAAAAATTAGCATACATTTATTAAGTGGTACATATGATATGATATGGAGAACATGTTGATACAAAGGATTGGCTTACATAAAGTTGTTCAATATAACCTTTTGTTGAATAAATTTGGTATAGTGAGCGTACTTTTGATGTTGTATAGTTTCACTAGGGGATAGGCCAGTATGACCATGGGCTTGAAGGTATTTTATCTTCAAAACAGGTCTCACAGATCACGAACAATATATAAACAAACATATTTTATTTGGTTATATTCAAACAAAAAGCTTACATACATATTAAAACATTGGACTACTTTATAAAAAGAAATAAAAGCCTCAAGATGTTTTTTCTCTTAAAGCATTTCAAAACTTCTTCTAGAGACTGGATAAGAATATTATCAGTGGGGTTTTGTTCAAAGTAAGAATGTGATCGCCAAACGTTTGTGATCTGACTAGGAGTTTCATTCTTCATTGCCTCAAGTTTTTCTCCTTTTTCCTGTTGGCTAGATTCAATCATAGGTTTTTTTATCCATCATCAATGTGTTGTGGAGCTTTTGGTGTCGTTGGTGTTGTTTGTTTTTGAAGAGGTAAAACATTTGTAGTCTTCAGATTAAATCTGTTGAAGAAGAGTAAACTTTTGTAGTATGCATGAAAAAGATTATTTTTAAAGCCTACAAATTATATAAAAAAACTGATGTTTTAAAAAAGTGAATTTTTTTATAACTTAAATAGACTTTTTCAATAGTTTTAGTTTTACTAACACTAACACTGAAATATAATTCAATAACCGCAAGTCCATGTAGATCAAGCTTCTTGACTGTTTCTTGAGCTTGTTTAAACTGCAAAGGTATAAATTTCATTTTAAGAAGATTGACTAATATCAATTTTCAATCTTGTCCCTTCCACTACATATCATGTGTCATTTTAAAATGATCACAAACACAAATTTTAGTAAAAAACATTTGATTTTATGGCTGTCAAAAGAAATTAAAACATCAAACATTAAACATCACCTGATTTTTATAAAGATAATTTAACATCTCCCTGTCTAATAAATAAATAAGTTGATTCTCCTACTGCCATGTGTCAAACTCTTAAAACTCTTAATAAATATCATATATATGCCACCTGTCACCTTTTTGCTATTCCCTTTTACATTGCATTTTCCAGGTAAAAGTTTTGTCATCCATTTTGAAATCCCTGAAAATTAGCCAACATTTTTGTTAACATAAATCCAATTTTAAAATCCTTGATAAGAGTTTCCAATTTGAAGCCAATAAATCAACTACTCATCGCCGAGAATCATGACCGTCAGCCTATTCTCTCCACAATCTTTAAAAAACTCATAAAACCCTAGAAACGGGTTCTTGATTCACCATCTCAGAACCTGGTTCACACATTCATTCATCTTGAAGGAAATCCCAATTGATTTTCATTCATATACCGTCTCTCCTTGTCTCGAATCCTAACGGTCGTCGGCTACATCTCACGCAGCAGAAGGTATATGCTTCTCTGTCATCGCTTTCATCATCTTCAGAGATTTTATTGGTCATCTGCATTCTATTTTCCCATTGATGTTTATTTTATGTTTTTATGTGGCATCTTCTTCAACCCTTTCTCTTCCTATTTAATGCTTCACGTAACAGCTAGAGGTTTATTGGAAAAACTTTGCTAAGGATTTTGTACATGAAGTTTTCTGGTAATTTGGTTTCAAAGAATGTTAAAATTAGGAAAATTGCATCTTTACGGAATGCTATTCCTTCACTGGATCCATAACACTAACAATCCAGGTTATTTTTCTGTCATTTATTGTATTTAATCGCATGTCACCTTATCCACACTAAGCGATCATTGACAAGCCCTTGATTCCGCATACCTTAAAATATACGACGAAACCATTAAAAAGTGATATTACTTAAATGATAATGTTTTGTTTTTGTATCTAAAGGAGTAGTACTGATCTTATTCCCTCTGTTTCTGTCATCAACTAGACTCAAATTTTTCTTACATTGGTGCGGTTTTGGAAGCAGAAAAGAACGTAGTTAATTGCATCAATAGGTAAGTAAATTGGAGCAACAAATCCACTTCAAGCTGAACGGGATACAATTACAGGGGATCTTGCTGTTAAAACAGGATGGTTAAATTTTTGGTCTCTTTTTTCTGTTGATTTCTATAAATTTTGGGAATTTGGCTTCTTTTTATGTGAAGTAAATTGTAT